TAGTTTCGTGATGACATCAGTTGGCCCACTGAGCACCGTCTCACGGTTGCTATTGATACAGGCAACGTTCACGCTGGAGGCCATGCTACCCAACGCCTTTTGGACTTCCTTGACTGGAGCTTGAACGGCGAGCATGGCGTGGCTGTTCAGCGTACACTTCTCAACCAGAAGTTTCGCACGAGTGCCGACAAGGTAGATGGTGTCGCTGGCGCTGAGGACGCCGGCAACGTTCAGCGCGGCATACTCTCCGAGACTGTGGCCCATTACCACGGCTGCCTTGATCCCCCATGACTCCCAAAGCTTTGCAAGCGCCATCTCAAAGCAGCAAAGACCGAGCTGTGTGATGATGGGTGACAGATTGGCGACATCCTGGGCAGTACCGTCAATCAAGGGAAGGAAAGACTCGAAACCGTGAAGGCGAGCAAGACGGTCAAACTCATGAAGGCTCTCCCGGAAAACGGAGTAATTTTCGTACAGCTCCTTGCCCATGCCAGTGTATTGCGAGCCTTGACCGGTGAATAAGAAAGCAACCTTTGGCTGCTCAGGAGTTACAGGAACAAAGTTCTCCTTGAGGCGATTCAGAATAGCACTCTGCGCTTCATTCACGCTCGAAGCGGTGACGCTCATGCGCCAGTAGTGCTGGATCTTGCGGGCGGTTGTGGAGTAAGAAATGTCCGCGAGCGACGCATCCGTATGCTTGTTCATCCACTTGGCAAGATTCTCCGCGTTCCGAATCATGGCAGCTTTGGACTTGCCAGTGATGGTGACGAGATGGCAGCTGCGTGGATCGGGCAACGTTGGTGCGGTCTTGGGGGCATCTTCAACCAGAATGCCAGTATTACCACCAGCGGCACTGAAGTTGTTGATGAAGACACGCCTGGGCTTGCCATCTTTGCGCTTGAACGGGGTCAAATGGAAGGCGATGTTGACGTTACGCTCAGACAAGTCCTTGGGGAAGGTCTTGTTAATGATCGACCCCTTTTTGATGCCGACGTGGGGAGGGATGGCGTTCTTGTGAAGCATCAAGAGCACCTTGCAAAGGGCAGTGATTCCAGAAGCCGCCTCACCATGGCCGACATTGGCCTTGATGGCACCAAGATAGAGCGGCCTGTCCTGGGGCCTCTTGCGCTGCGCTGGCGCAAAGACATTGGTAACAGACACCATTTCGGTGCCGTCTCCTGCTTGAGTGCCCGTCCCGTGCATCTCCACGTAGTCAACATCGTGCGGATCCACACCAGCGTCGTCCAGGATAGCTTGAGAGAGCGTAGACTGAGTTGGCCCGTGGGGATGAGTGATGGAAATAGCATCGGCTGAGTGGTTGGTCGCGGTGCCGAGAACAACGGCGAGAACTCTGTCGTTGTCGGCCTGAGCATCTTCCAATCGCTTGACGACAACCGAAGCGCAGCCATCACCACGGCAGTAGCCGTCGGCCTCATTATCAAAGGTCGCGCAAGGCCCCTTCTTGGACAAGAATTGACCTCTGCTCAGACCCGAAAAGATGTCTGGGTTAGTCATGCAAGACAAGCCGCCCACGATAGCGGTGTCGCAATCGCGAGCCCAGAGAGCAGTACAGGCAACCTGAAGCGCTGCGGCGCTGGAGGAACAGGCAGTATCGATGTTGAGACTAGGGCCACTGAAGCCGAAGTGGTAGTTGATACGACCAGGACCAAAGGCACGGACACCACCGGTGATGAAGTAGGTGTCGACCTCCTGAGCCGCGTTGATCTCGCGCCAATCGTCTGACGTCTGTCCGTAGAAGGTGCCGATGCGGTCCAGTCTGGTGGAGGGTGTTCGGTTGGGGACGTATCCCGACATCTCCAGTGCTTCGTAGGCTGTTGTCAAGGCCATTCTCTGCATAGGGTCGGTCTGGAAGGCCTCACGGGGCGACATGTTGAAGAAGCGCGGATCAAACAAGCCCGGCTGCTCGATCCAGCAGCCATACGGAGTGTGACTGGTGTTGATGACCTTGCCCGTAGGGTCATAGTGCGTCTTGACATCGAACCTGTCGGGCGGCACAACGCGGTGGACGTCGAGGCCCTTCTCGAGAAGTTCCCAGAGCTTCTCGTGATTGGCAGCATCGGGGAAGCGGCCAGCCATGCCAACAATGGCGAGCTTGCACTTGCCACTGGACCCGTGGTTGCCAATTCGGGAAGCAGTTGCCTCAGGGGAGATGGGGGGACAGTCCCGGAACGTGACTTCCAGGTTTGTGTGGGCTTTGATCAGCCCAACGAGAGTGGCGCCGTTCTGAGTAGGACCGAGCGGAAGAATGAGGCAGCTCTTTCCCTTGAAGCTCTTTGCCCTGGCAATACATCCGTCAAGCACCTTGGTAAATCGCAAGGGCTCCACCAAAATCTCGTGCACAATCTGCTTCAGCAGCGACGCCGTCGTGAGTTGCCTGTCGGTGACCCATTCGCCCGAAAAGCACGACATGACGTGGGATCTCGGCTTCGTTCTGTGCAGCGCGTCAATCACCACCTCGTCGTCCAGGCGTAGGATCTCGTCGACCGAGGCAGCATCGTGAAGGTGTGGTGCATGATAGGGTCCGTAGACGGGGATCGAGGTTACGTTGGTCTTCCCGCCAAAGTTGTGTCCACTAGCGAAGGCCTTCAGAGAAGAAGGAGGACCCGAAATGGCGACACTCTGTGAGGAGCTTGCACTCAAATATAGCCGGTTGACGCGGTTCCAGCCGCTTTTCTTATTGAAATCATGGACCACCTGACCGGCAGCGCCTTCCGAAATATTGGTGAAGATATATGTCCAGCTCTCAGATTTTTCGGCCGTGGGGTATATCTGTTCGGCAACCTTATATACGTGTCGTCCAACTCTGAAAGACATGAGGGTCACTTGGACGGCCAGTGGTACCAACTCTGATAACGACTTCGTGCAGGCGATTGCGGTGGCTGCGAAGAGCCCGGAGCATAGGCCGACAAGGCATGTATTCTCCGGTCTGGCGAGGTCATCGTGGTTACTCTCAATATGACTAGAAACAGTGTTAGGGTTAGCGTGAGCAAAGGGAAGGGCAGACAAGCAGATCACCGCTTACTCTATGTAATGAGCCAATTGTGATATGCACAAAAGGGCACCGTCGATGCCAGGGTGTTTGATGGGCTGACCATGATATCTCTCATTGAGTTGCTGTAAATTGAGGAATTCGGGTAGTTTCGAACGTTCTGTCCTGGGAAGCTGATCTATCTCGCGTCGGATTGCATAGCCCACCTGATCCAAGTACGCTTTTGCAAGAGTGCCTTTCTTGGGTTTGAGGAAGGCGCTTGCGAGGAAAGCGTGCGTGTCAAGAGACTGGTCGCCGAAGAGGTAGAATGCCAATGACTGATCTGGCTGGACAGAAGACATTGTGCGCGTCTCTCTCGTCAGGTTCTTCTCGGCCGTATGCTATATGGTTGTCGGGAATTATGCAGAATATATAGAACGATCCTCGGAAGGAAGGACGATGCTGCGAGGTAGTGTTGTAACAAGGGCGATGGTAAGTCCCTTTGCTTGAAGATGTAGCATGAAAGGGATAGGACAGACATTTAAATAAACTAAAGATATAAAGGTGAGCAAAAGAGGGGGGGGAGGGGCGACAGTTTTCGGATCTCTTATGCGGAATGCAAAATGTACGTAGAGCAGATGTACACACACCACTGTGGTATGAGAGAACAGCTGCCTCATGCCTACGGTTACGTAGATTTCGCCCTAGCCGGTGGGCGAGCTGCTTGTCTGAGCTTATTCTGGGTGACTATGTAGGCCTTGGCGGGGATTGATACACAAGCTCGGCAAAGATACCCAAGACATTGTTTTGTGTATCTTCATTCCGTTACGATTATTGGTAAACCATTTGAGTTTGATCTGTGGGGGAGCTTTTAGCATCCCTCGGACTTATCTTGAAGACCTGGCAATGTTCCGTCGTGTAAGACTAGCACCTGCATGCTTCCATCAGGGAACTCATGCCGCTCCTGGACAAGGCTACATCTGCTGGAAGCCTGATCCTCGAGGTACTAAACAATTAACATGGGAAATGTCTTTGTACGGCTCTGCACCCTGGGTACATTGTCAGATGCGGACTTCCCCACCCCCTCCTAAAACAGCCGCCCATACAAATCGGCTCGCGGTGCTTACGGTCCATCGTATAAGAGTTAGCCACACGGACATCCGGCACGGAACGTGCTGTTCTCAGTTGTGACACCAGAAACGGATGATGGCCCAAAGCTTCAGACGCGGTAAAGGTGATGATTTATGGCAAGGATCGATGTCGTGAGGTTCTCGTGCCCTTGTGTAAATATAGACAGGGCGTAACATCGAGCATTGTCCTGGAGTGTTGGGGTACCACACCACCCAAGACGGGAATGATTGAGTGTCTGGCTCAGGGTGTTCGGATGGACGAGATGCTATAGGTCAGAAGCACCCCTGCCTTAGCTCAATATGGTAAGGCCACAGGGGTCTTGGACTTTTTATTGAACACCTGCTCCCGCGCTCTCCTGTTCTCTCTCTCCTCCCTTCATCGGTGAGTGAAAGCCACTATCGTACAACTCCCTCTGGATGAACGTACACTGACCTGATTAGCTGCCAGGGACGTGGCAAGCAACATCTTTCAAGGGATCTTATCTTCCACACCATAAGTCCGTATGCCTTGTGGCACGTCAACGAAAGAACGTTGAACTGGAGTACTGTGGGCCACGGATGTTTAACTGCCCAATCCGGTTAGGTTTCCAAAGTAAAAGCCTCTAAGCCGTTTCGGGAAATAGTTGAGCAATGCGACGAGAATTGGAGCTTTCTCAATCTGTGCAAGGTATCATTGCATACTAACCGGTGTAGAAGTACCAAGTCTGACCTTACCTATACCATGGCCGCAAACGTGGAGTGATACCTACGTTGATCCCCGTTTTCGTCGGTGTAGACAGCACAGATGAGTGCCAAACACGCTTTACTGCAGCTTGAACCATGCCAGCCACTCGACATGAATGGGAATGCTGGTGATAATGATGTCTGCAGTTCAGCTCAGCTCAGACGGGGAGCTGTTCGAGTGCTTGGCCCCCGGGGGTCTGAGCTAGTCCGGACGTCAATGTCTGTAGCATGCAAGGCGCTTTTATGGATGTAACACACTGACGATAGATATGCTGTGATTTGCCTGCTTCCATAGTCCGCTCTCCAGCAAATGGCGCGGTTTCTGGCTAGTGAATATGCCTATGCGTCGCGTGCAAGGCTCGTCTGGTTGCTCGATGCGCTCAAAAGGAGAGTCCAACTGCGTGGGGTCACGCTCGCCATGCGGCGGTAGGTACATCTTGGTTGCCTGAATTCGGCAGCGTGCGTTTTCCAGAAGTTGACCAGACGCAGCTGTAGGATCACTCGACCCAAGAACTAAGGACTATTTAGTGTGCGTTGTTCCCTTACCTTGAACGACAATGAAACCGTGAGATGATCAGCTCTTGCTCAAAGTTCGGCTTGGTTTGAGCTGGATGAGGAATGAAGCATTGTGTATTCGTTCATTCGGATGCCTACAGCATGAGACATGCCAAGCTCATTACTGAGACAGGATGGTAATGGTCATCGATTTGTGGACATATAATGCCAATGCCCTCCCATCAGCAGGAAAGCTTCTCGGTGATGTTTTGATGTCAGTATACGTCCCTTCACCTTCAGATCATGACTCTCGAAATTGTATTGAGATGCTCACGGATAGATCATACTTGTGAAGTACCTACTGTATAATTTTCCGTATTGGTTGGTTGGTGGAGACCCCATTTCAGGATGAAGGGTTTGAAGTGTTCGAAAACAGTGCACATGCTCATTGTCAGCTGTCAAAGCATTTGTCTGACGTTCCAGGCTGCGTTATCTGTGCAGTCTGGATCCGGAGTCAATGCAGTGGCCTTCCGATGTTTGGTAACTGAATTACCGGCAGATCTTGTAGGGTTACAGGTTTACCGACTATATGCAACTGTATGTACTCAAGTGTTGATGTAGGTAAATGGCAGAACTTAAGCCTGCGTTGCCCGCCTTGTTTGCATCGCGGGATCATACGGTACACGACAGTGAATGTTGGTAGAGAATCTCATGCATTATGGAAAGGGAAGAGCATCTCCGGCGACATAGTGTTCCAAGTTTCGGACGGTCTTTTCTTGGTGAGTGGCTGGGATTGACCTCGCCGGGATGTAAAGATTCGATCACCAATGCCCTCTCGTCTTTATGAATCTCAGCTAGAGGCTTTGGATCAAACGACGGAAACGCTTGCGCCAACCAATACCGCCGTTGCTCGTTGCGGTATACGGCGTTGTCGTAAGGAATGTTGATGACGCTTAGTACCGGTGGCATACAATGTTCTTTACCGGCATGTGGGAGACTTCGTAGGTAGCTCTCAGTATCAGAATGTGGATAGTAATCGTAATCGGCGATGGAGCAAACTGAACTCTGGGGAATTCGGCAGCTCGGGTCCCCAACGGTATACGGCGGCGCTAACGGATTTCATGTACATCGATGTTGAGGACTGGCCCGCCCTGCTTCATCTTGTCCCAACGTGGAATTACAGCTTAACCAATGGGGAAGGGGGTCAAATTTTCTTCATGTTTCCAACTTTACCCCCCTCCCCAACGGGTAGTTCGTTCCTTCTCTGATCAACAGTTCGCACAGACCAAGTGTATTGGGGCTTTCCGCCCGCTAGGGCAAGAGCGAGCTTTGAAAGTTGATGTGAAAGAAGGCAATATTCGTCCAGCAGCCGGCGTCCAAATTACCGTTCCAGGAACTTTTCAACTTCCTTGAGGTTCTACGAAAGGAGTCTGAGAATACGTTGGCTCTACACAGTCGATTCTGCCCGAGCTTCTCAGTGATGAAGGTTGACAATTATTCAAGACCACCCAATACTATACACCCCCATATACATGTCATGTACCGTATCATGCGGTCATACTTGCGTGTGCTTTATCTGACATAGTTCAACAACAGTGTACTCGTACCCACGCGACTGTGCCGTGAACACCAGTCCCTCGTCTCTGGATTTTACAAGATAATAGGGTGTATGTGTTTTGCCGAAACCGAGGCTAGGCCATGCGCCCTTCTACAGGTGCAAGAAAGAGACCGATGTGACAGAATTTCAACAGTCCGTGCCAGCTAGGGCCGTTCGTGGAATGGACCAAGATGCAGCGAAGCCCCTACTTGGTGTAAGCCTCAACTGGTTTTTACCAAGGTTCGACGGTCGTCTTCGCAAACTGGTGTTCCTCTCCGACGCATTTGACCAGTGAAGACCATGTCAATCAATATGAAGGTTTTCTCTATTCTAGGGTCCGGTTCTGTTCGTTATATACCTACTAGAGTTTGATACCTGTTGGAGAGGGGTCCAGGTTCCTGTCGTTTCTCCAACTCTGCTCAATGCCTGCCAAATTGGATGCGTGTCCCCCTCACGGTCTATAAAAGGAGGTTTCTTATTGCAGAGCAATCCCAAAAGGAGCGTCATGTAAGAAATTCACTCTTGCATGCACAATCGGTCTGGCACATATGCTTGCAATATGCTTACACCTGCGTCATTGGCATTGGCCCGACTTTTTTGAAACTTAAACAATGGGCTGCCATTTTCTCCTTGCTGCGTTTGACACATGCCAATCTCGATCAAACTGCCTTTACATTGCCGCAACTCATTCAATTATAGTATGAATGCATCACATGGGGAAAAAACAGGCGGGATTGAGGCAGCATGGTGCAGCTTGCACGATGTGTTGGGTACAGTTGACTGACGGTCTTGCTGCATGTTGTTAATGTACTTCGGGTGACGCAAGTTCTTGTAAGTACAAGTTTGGTACAAGGTACCTCTACATTCGTGATTGTATTGGCGCTTCGGCTTCGTTCTCGGACATTCCCCGATTATCGCCGCTTTGAGCTCCGGAAAGGCGGATGTTGGGGTAATCGTCCACACCTTCTTGCCAGTTTTCACTTTTATGACACTATTTTCTTCCCATTGCCATTTGATTTGGCAGAAATGGGTGGCTTCAGTTTACCATTTTCGAATCGTGGTACCTTCACCAAGCATCCGCACCCCCATTTAGTAGCGGATCAGTTCCAAGCAACACGGCATCCCTAGTTCCGGGAGGATGATGGCTTGAATCCAACGGACGGCAACACGAAATTTAGCACTCCTCCGCGGCAAGATTTCTCGGACAGTAAGACGCATAGATAGAGGTAGTGATGTATGAACAAATATCTTCTTCCATTGTGGTCAGATGCTTACCGCATGATAGGGTCGGTGTGGAACTGCTTCGGCTCTATTCAGTGCGAACCTAATGTCCATGCGTCCAATCTTTTCTGTATGGCATTTGGGTGCTCTGGACCATCCGTGATTCAAAAGTTTTGTTTGTTCTTTAACTTGCAAATATCAAACAGCCTTGCAGCCTTGCATGATGCATCGCTAATACCTCTTGCATAAAGCCCGAACATATGGGCAGAAGGTGGCGACTTTGCTCCCCAGTCTTGTCGATGTGATGGCTTCTCGAATCTGCGGTCTTTTATCTGTCGATCCATATTGATGCGTGCCCAGCAAACGAGGCAACCATGCGCCCTACCCCGGAACAAGGCTCACTTCCCTCTCGTTCTTCCACGGAAGCCACATCCTGCGCCCTGCACTGAGCTGCTCAGCCTCGTCCAATATTACAGGAACGTCGAGGCCCAATTGATGGAACAACAAACTCGCTCTGGCTATTGTTATTGGATTGTTGGATTTCGCCAACGGGACACAGGACCCATAAAAATCCACATGGGATCGAGACATTGATCAGCCTCCGTCCCTACCTAGTTCAACCTACTCCGAGACGTGCATGGCATCTCACCACATTTTGTATCACACCCTTTCTTCAACAGCCCACCCACTGGCTGCCAGGTAACTCGACTCGATATCTCTCTCCCACAGTCCCGGATCTTGGATGGGGGAGATGGCAAGGCACGGGTACGGTAGTCATCTGTCGTTTGGCTGTGATGACAGATTGACAACCTTATCTTGCACCGAGGGGATGTGCATTCATGGACTGCCCCATCCACATCCCCGAGTCCGTCAGCACGATGTAGGTGCCAGGTGCAATGTCCGGCCCGTGGGGATATCCTACCTAGGTTCAGGTACTTGGGTACCCCTGGTTATGCCGCTTCTGCAATCATCGACCGGACAAAATCAATCACATCCACACTGCAACAAACCATCGCCAACCTCCACCGATGCATGGAAGCTCGTAAAGAACAACGATCCTTCACACCGAGGCTGACACCTTTCCGCCTCTTTCAAGTTGAGCAACTGTCTGAGGCGAGGACGATATCAGTATGGTGTGGGGGTTGGAGTGAGCATCTGGACCTCATCATATCACGGACATCGCACGCTCTGCTAGGTCTGATGCCAGTCAAGGTAACACAATGGCGGTATTGTATCGCAGTATCGCATCGATCTGACCATACTTTCATCCAGGACTCGGCATCTGTCGCATCGCATCGTCACCTTCCCCGCTCTGCTTAGCCGCTGCAAGCTCCGGGCTGCGTTGGCGGTAAGTAACATCAAGATAGGCAAGATGTAAGGTACATTACACCCGGACTTGAGACAGAACGCACGAACCAGGGGAAGGAACATCCATTAGACGGCTATAACTCGGCTCTGACCAAAGTACCTTCCTTCCCTGAACCCACAAGGGTCCACAGTTACCTTCCTTACATCAGACACATTATCCAGGCTGTTCACCAGCACCACATGTCTCAGAAGGCTCGATTAAATAAAGCGCTAGTGTCGTAGATAGAGAAACTGCAGGGCCGATCCGTCCCTCCATCCTTCCCTGCTTCACGCAGTGCCTGACCTTCTTTCCACCACTGCCGTAACAACCTAAGCTGTGGTGTTGCCAGTCTCCAAATGATGTCTCCGCCATCGAGCCCTTCCATGACCCCCCTCAATCCCCTCACTCCCTTTTGTCGCACGTCTCACAATTCCCTCGTGCACACTGAAACGTATCACCACTGGCCCCGTCTTTCCCGATCAGTCCAGCCTAGGTCTTGTCACATACGACCGAAGATCTGGAGAACATTACGTCGGGTTCACTGCATTTTTAAAAGGCAACTGGAACTTGCAAGTACGTTGCACTTTTGAGGGGCCATGGAGGGTCAAGTTACAGAGTCTCCTGCTGGTGTGCAGGCCAGCGACGGTGGGCAACTGCCATCAGTCCAGTCCATAGGTATAGAATGCCGGGGCTCGCAGAGGCACTTGCCGAGTGCCAACGCAGCGCCCGGGCCTCTCGGCGGCTGGTGGGAGAGAACAGGGCATCATGCGGCTCCGTGTCGGCCCGGATGCGCTTGGGGGTAACCTTAAAACTACCTCTATTCGGAATGGAGTGGATAGTTCGAGGTCTGAACCTGCTATCCTGTG